ACCGCAAAGGCCCTGGGGCAGCCTCAGGCCTGGTGTGCTCTAGCCACAGTGAGGAGGCCCACATGGCCAGGACGAAGTGATCAGGTAGAGAAGAGAAGGAAGTAAGGTTACGGTAGAGGAGGAGGAGAACCAGGTAGAGCCACCACAGACCACTGCAAGAGTCTGGCTTTTACCCTAAATGAGATGGGAAGACACTGACAGAGGATCTCATAACGTGATCTGACTCAGGTTTAAACAGGACCACTTCAGCTTCTGTGTTAGGAGAAAGGAGCCATGGGCTGTCATTCATGACCAGGGGCCTGGCCCTGGAGACCTCCCGATGGACCTGGCCAAAGCATATGGCAGGGTTATGGGCTGAGCTGTGTCCTCTCAAAATTCATATGCTGTGGTCCTATCCTCCAGGACCTTGGAATGTGACTGTATTTTGATGATAGGATCTTTAAGGGGGTAATGAGGGTTAAACGAGGACATTGGGGTGGGCCTTAATCCAATATGACTCCTGTCATTATAAGAAGAGGTTGGGACATGGATATGTGTGCACCAGTGGAGACCATGTGAAGATACAGGGAGGGGACAGCTTGGGCTGCTCTAATGAAAAGCCTTAGACTGGGGACTTCACCAACAGGGATTTATTTCTCACAGTTCTGGAAACTGGAAGTCCAGCAGGGTCTGTGTCTGGTGAGGGCTCTCTCCTTGGTTTGCAGAAGGCTGCCTTCCGGTTGTGCCTTCACATGCCCTTACCTGGGTGCACACAGGTAGATGGGGCAGGTGGTGGGAAGAGAGAGCTCTCTGATGTCTCTTCCTATAAGGGAGCTAAGCTCATCATGGGAGCTCCACCCTCATGACCTCATCTAAACCTAATCACCTCCCAAAGGCCCCATCTCCCAATATCATCACATTGGGGGCTAGCGCTTCAACATATGAATTTAGGGGGATGCTATGCAGTCCATGGCCATCTACATAACAAGGAGAGAGGCCTCAGAAGAAACAGCCCTTCTGACCCCTTGATCTGGGAACTCCAGCCTCCAGAGCTGGGAGGAAATCAACTTCTGCTGTTCAGCTCCCAACACTGTGGTTCTTTCTTACAGCAGCCCTGGCAAACTAATACACAGCAGATTTACCCAGGGTATTCATCCAAATACGCTCTTTATATTGAGAGGCCCAGTTTGGCCCATAGAGTCAATGAAGAGAACAGGCCTAGATCCACATCCTTCAGAGACAGTGGATATCAAGAGCAAGTGGAGGGGGCCTGGTACAGTAGCTCACACCTGTAATCCCAGCACTTTGGGGAGCCAAGGCAGGCAGATCACCTGACGTCAGGAGTTTGAGACCAGCCGGGCCAACATGAAGAAACCCTGTTTCTACTAAAAATACAAAGATTAGCTGTGTGTGGTGGCAGGTGCCTATAATCCCAGCTACTCAGGAGGCTGAGGCAGAAGAATCACTTGAACCCAGGAGGCAGAGGTTGCGGTGAGCTGAGATCACGCCATTGCACTCCAGCCTGGGCAAAAGAGTAAGACTCTGTCTCAAAAAAAAAAAAAAAAAAAAAAGACAGAGAGAGAGAAAGAGAGAGGGAGATACAGAGAGCACATGGAGGGGTCCAGGGGCTCCAGGGCAAAACACAGAGTGGAGCAGGTTGAAAGCAGAGCAGGTTCAGACCAAGTGAAGACGGTCAGATGATCTCGAGAGTTCTATAGATCCTTTACTGGTAGATAAGCCTCAATGGCAAGGTGGATTAGGGTAACTCAATAAGAAGACATCAGCATACTATTTCTCCGTGCGTTGCCTTTCGCCGTCTCCACAGCAGGAAGGTGGTCAGCCTGAATAGTGCAACGTTTTTTGTACCAAAATCTTTCTCCTCTTACAAACTCCTGCCAGAAACCCATTTGCAGCTGGTACCACAGGCCTGCAGGGATGGACTCAGAGAAAGTCCGGCATGCCATGCTCAGCCGAGAACAAGGCCCTGGAGAGAAGCCACCAGGCGTCCCTCCTGGTCTGACACTGGATTTACCATCCAAGGCTTCCTGGGCCTCCTCACACCTGGAGCACCTCTAGCGCTCCAAGATACCTGTGACAAGTTCAATACAAGGCAGGGGATGGAGGAAGTGGGGACATGCCCAGCAGGAGCTGGAGTAGCAAGGAGAAGTGCTCCTGATACCCAAAAGTAAGACAAGCCTGGCAGGAGTGATGGTTCCCAGCAAAAGCAGAGTGCCTTACTAGGGTCAGCATTCCACCACAGCTGATCAGTCTTGTAAAGAAAGCTCCCTTCGTAAACTTCTCCAAAACTTTCAAGAATACCTGCAGGGGACTTTGGTGCGGTGGAGGAGGGGCATGGTATATGCTAGAGTCTTATATAACATGTAATGGCAACAATAAGAAAATACAGCTGATAGCTGAATGTGACGCCTTTGTACCTCCAGGATGGTGTAGGAAAACTCCAGAGAGAACACCAGGTTACATGGAGCACAATTGCCAGACATCTTTTTGCTGTGTCCTGTGACCCCAGAAAATTAAGCAGCTTCAGTCACTGTGCTTCCCAAGAGACAGACCTTGTACAAATCACTGAATTTCTTTAAGATTCCATTTCCTTCTGTCTAAAATATGGGTAATGGGAGTATCTGCTTCATAGCACTGAAAGGATTAAATAAGATGATATACTTAAAGTACATAGCATATTATCTGTCATATGATTTTTTAAGCTGTTTGTTTTTGTTTTTGTTTTTGTTTTTTTTTTGAGACAGTCTCTCTCTGTCACTCAGGCTAGAGTGCAATGATGTCATCAAGGCTCACTGCAGCCTCTACCTCCCAGGCTCAAGCAATCCTCCCACTTCAGACCCCCAAGTAGCTGGGACTATAGACATGTGCTATCATTCCCAGCTACTTTTTTAATTTTTGGAGAGATGGGGCCTCACTTTGCTGCCCAGGCTGGTCTCCAACTCCTGAGTTCAAGTGACCCTCCTTCCTCAGCCTCCCAAAATGCTGAAATTACAGGCATGAGTCACCCACATCCAGCCTAATAATTGTCTTTAAGGAGAGGAGACTGAAGTGGATAAGCGTGACCAGGGAGCAGGTAAAACCACAGAGCCTGAGCTGTACCGGGGGCAGGCCAATGAGCCAGTGTCACCTAAACAAGCCAAAGATGGCCTCTGTATATCGGCCCCTAGGCTGTCAACTTCCTCACAGAAGCTGAGACTTGTTAGCTCAAAAGCCTGCTGATGAGAAACTCAAATTTTTATACATTCGATTGTTTTCAACATAACCTAAATAACTATATCTGCATCCATTTAGAGCCTGACTGCTTGGCATGCCCTGCAAAGGCGCACTCAATAGCTGCTAGGCATATAGATAAGATTAAACCCCATGGTTAGGAGGACTCCCAGTCACTGCCACCCTTTGGAGCTCTCTAACCCAAAGGCTCCCCTCCAGACTGCTGAGCAACTTCATGTAGATATCTAAGCCCCCTTTCCAAGTCCCCACTCCTCTATAAGCTCCCTTGCCCTCCTACCCTTCTGAGGAATGACCCTAAACCACAGCCTCTGGGCAGTCTCATGCTGCGAGAGACTTCCTCTGCATGCCAGCCTGTCAGAGCATCACCCAAACAAAGCTTTCATGCGCCACTATCATGTGGCAGTCATATCTTTTTCCTTCCTTCCTTGATCAGTCCCAGAATCCCTCAAACTCCCTACAACCAGTGTCTCAAAGAGTGCAATCAGCAAGGATGGCCTAAATCCACAGCGATGTGAGTCTAGGAAGCAGCCAGTTCTCAGAGTTCAACAGGCAGCAGCACCAAGGCTCGGAGGACCGCCCTCCAGCCATAGCCTAACCAGAGACTGAACCATGGAAGGATCCAGCCTCTCATGAGAAGCCGGACAATGCAAAGCAGAATGTGTGGACCCCAGACAAACAGAGAACTATGAAAAGAGGGAAAGCAAAGAAGGGATCATGCATTATGGCTGGAGGAAGGAAGGGGCTCACACTCTTCCTCACAGGTCAGTGGCTACAGCCAAGGCTAGAGCAAAGCAGGAGCCTGGGATCTGCCTCATTGCCAGATATAGCTACACATCAGCTGCCTAGACAGAGGATCTAGGAGGGCAGGATGCTGCTGCTGACAGAATGGTGATGGTTTGGATGATGGTGATGAAATAAAGATGGTGGTGGCAATGATGACGATGGTGATCTTGGTGATGACGCTGATGGACATGGTGATAATGGCAAAGGCAGTGATGGCCCTGGTGATGATGATCATGATCATGAAGGTGATGACAATGATAACTAGCATGTATTAAGCACTTATCATATACCAGGCACTGGGTTATGCTGCATTATTTAAGATGCATCATTTAATTTAATCCTCATTACAACCCTATCAGGTTGTTTTTCCTCCCACTTCACATTTGAGAAAACTAAGTCCTAGAGAAGTTAACAAACTTGTCCAATGAACTATTGAAGTCAGAACCCAGGTAGCACCCCCCGCCAATTCCATACTATTGTTCCATACTATCATAAAGAACCAGTGGCCCTTTGACAGATAAGACAAAATTTGTTCCTTGTCCTATTTTGAATGTTTCCGAAACCACACAGTCTCCCAGGAAAGAAAAAGAAATGTTGACTGTGCAGTACATAACAGCACTTCTAACATCAAAGAGGCTTGAAGCACAGGCTATATCCCCGTGACCCCTAGATATCCAAGTGCAAAATGAAAGCTTCAGCCACCTGTGCAGATGTGCAAGTCCTTGGAAGGCAGGGCTGTTACTTCTACCCTGTGGGCAACACCCCCAGAATAAGGCCGTGCAGAGAGCATGGCATCATTGCTTTGTTGGCACCAGCAAAGAACATGTCAAAGAGGAGCATTAGAAATTTATCCACCCAGGAGTAATGAGCTAAATAGATGCATTTTGAAAAAGTACACACAGCCAGTGACAGCATCAACCAACCTGTCAGAAGTACAAGCAGATAGAAAATAATGCTAGCTTTCCATTAATGGCAGGGTACTTTGTTTTATTTTCAAATGCCTCAAGAAAAAAGCAACCTGCTCTAGGTGGGTGGCAAGCTATGCTTCACACGCTATGGGAAACTGTCATGAAAGATGTTCACATCTTCACCAGGAAGTTACCAGTAAGAGCTAAGGAAGAATGCAAAGGCCAGTAAAACCCAGAGCTGAACCACTGCTGCTCAGAGATTTGTGCCTCTCTCTGTGATCTAGACAGATAAAAGGGAAGGTCTCCTTTGTAAAAAGCCCAGTGATGGCAGGAACAGGAAGTGGACATAAACCTGTGATGTAATTTAAAATGGGGCTCTATTCATTTCTATCATTATCCAGTCATTTCCTTATGTTCGTCTCCTCAATGAGATGAGAAGCTCCTTGAAGCCTAGGATTATACAATTCCTTGCTCTAATTTCCCCGACAGCAGGCGGCACCGAGGTAACACGGTATGGACACCTGTTGTCTATCAAGGAGAATCGATCTGATGCCAGCCCACATGAGAGACCCCTCAAGTCACTTGGAACCACAGACGATCATTATTGACACTACTTATTTTTCCCATAATGGTGAGCAGATGACTTCCAACTGATATTTTCCCCTAGCAACAATCTCATGATTGGGAGTTCTGTTCTCATCAAGAATTCAGCATCAAATCAGTCATAGCCATGACTACAACCACTTAAATAGAACACACATCATTCAAAAGAGTAAAATTATTCTCCAAGCAGCAGAACTTTAGAGCTTGCCTGGAAGGTGCTTTCATCAGCTCCAGGCACTCCACACAAGCAGAACCAGCAGCCCCAGGCAGGTGAGGGACTCGAAGCCACCCAACGAGTTAGCGGCAGAGCCGGGATCTGACCTCTAGTCTGTGGTGCCCTCTCCCTCACACCTTACTGCACCCCTTTGGCAGTCTCATAAAATCAGCATAAGTATGTTATCTTCATCCATTTTATGAAAGGTCTCAAAGTACCCACTTGAAAAGCTCAATTCTACCATATCATAAGGCAGAATCCCCAAAGTAGTTTTCCCGATATACATCCCACCAAATGTTAACAGATGCTGTCCCAGAGACCCACCCATGTGCTTTTAGCCTTCACTCCTACCCTTCTGTACTTAATTATGGAGGAGCTGGGACCCCACAAACTACATTTTCCAGACTCTCCTGCCAATGGGCTTTCAGTTGGATTCTATGAGGGTGGGGAATGGTGGGTCATATGGTATGGCTATGTCCCCACTCAATCTCATCTTGAATTGTAGTTCCCATAATCCCTATACATCATGGGAGGGACCCAGTGGGAGGTAATTGAACCATGAGAGTGGTTACCTCCATGCTGTTCTCATAGTGAGTGACTTTTCATGAGATCTGATGGTTTCACAAGGGGCTTTTTCCGCTTTGCTTGGCACTTCTCCTCCCTGCCATCATGTGAAGAAGGATGTGTTTGCTTACACTTCCATCACGATTGTAAGTTTCCTGAGGCCTCCTAAGGTGTGTAGAACTATTAGTCAATTAAATCTCTTTCCCTTATAAATTACCCAGTCTCAGGAAGTTCTTTATAATGGCATGAGAATGGACTAATACAATGGGTGATTAGATGGTAGGATGGATTAATTTTCTATGGTGCTGTAAAAATTTACAGCTCCCTGCACATCACACAACATGCATTTATTATCTCACTGTTCTGTATAAGTCCAGTGGGCTCAGTTGGGTACTCAGCTTAGGGTCTCACAAGGTCAAAATCAAGGTGTTGGTCAGCCTGGGCTCCCATCTGGAGGCTCTGAGGGAGAATCTACTTACAGCTCTTCTGGTAGGTTGTGGGCAGAATTCAGTTTCCTGAGGTTGTAGGACTGAGGTCCCTGAATTTCCTTGCTGCTGTCAGCTGGTGGTCCCTCTCAGCTTCTAGAGGCTGCCCACATTACTTGTCTCATGTACCCTTCCCCTGTCTTTGAAGCCAGCTATTGCATATTGAATCCTGTCATGCTGTGAACCTCTCTGACTCCTTGTTATGCTTTCCTTTCTCACTTTGAAGGGCTCTCATGATTGCTTGTGTTGGGCCCATGCCACATCAGCCTGGATATTCTCCATATCCTATCCTATTCGCCAGTTGACTGGCGACCTCAATCACAACTGCAAGGCCCTTTTCTCCATGTAGCATGATGTATTCACAGGCATAATACCAGAGGGCAGAGATCATGGGGGCCAAAATTCTGCCTACTACAGAGAGCAGTACTCCTCCAGGAGTAGCAGAAGGCTGTGGGGTCCAGGGGCCTCCCCTAGATCCAGAAATCATTGCTCAAGCCTCTTTCTACATCACAGCACTAGGGCTTAGCACCTCCACAGTTGTACCACCATCTGCTGGATCCCACCATGCTCTGCATCTCTCTTTTTAGTCTCAGCACTCTAAATTATCCCCAGGGTTGTAGAAACAAGTGTGTTTCCAGGTTCTGCAACTCCACATCCATTCTCTGACTACTTCCTGTCATTGTGAATCTCTAGGAGACATCAGCTTTTTAAACTATATCTCTGTCTTCAATCTGAATTTCCTAGAAGGCTTCTATTTTCCTGAGCAGATTCTGACTGGCGGAGGTACCCTATGATAGAAGGGCCCTGCAGCCTTGGGAAACACAAGGTCAACCAAAGTTAAGCAGTTTCTTCCTGCAGAACTTCTCAGAGCATTGAATATATGAACAGGCATTGTGGATATTGAAGAAGGGGATCAAGCAGGGAGCATTGCTATTTCCAAACACTGTTTCTCAAAGCAGCCCTTGTTTTGTAGAGCATCTTGTGGGGCTGGTGCTCAAAGAACTTTAAGAAACACTGTCACCATTAAATCTTCTCAAGTTATCATATAAGCTCTAATCAGCACTAAATATTTGATTAACAAAAATTGTACCTATGTTTATGGAATTTAGAATAGCATTTAGGAGTTGATTCTGCTGGCTAGGAATGTTAAAACTGATAATATAAACTTATTTTTGCAATAAGCTTCCAACAGCTACCTTTCTGCCAGGTGTGGAAGGTCCCTCCAAAGAACTGTCTTCTCAAAAATAATGATTAGTGAAAGGGTTTAACCAGGTAAAGACCAGGTTTCCTTCTAGTTATTGCTTTTAGGAGGCTTAACTGTGAATGTGTGTACAGAAGGTTTCTTTCCATGCCCTCTGCTTGCTCCTTCCTCTGTGCTTTTTCGTCTCCTCCCTAGTCCTACCCTGTTGGCTCCCCGTCTCCCTCACCCACGGAAAGCAGTTAAAGATGACATTGAGGCCAACCCCAAAGGAGAAACAGATCAAAGGAGTCACGAAGGGCCCCATGGCAGAACAAGGGTTAAAAAATCTACTCCCCTCTTGATGAATTCTTACAGTCATTAAAAATGATAAATTACGATGACTTTGCAGCAACATGAAAAAAATTCTTACGATATAATTAATGCTAAGTGGAAAATGCAGAACACAAAATGATAGCTACGCTATGATTACAACTCTTTAAATTATATGTTCATGGGGACGAAACTGGAAGGGAACATGGGAAAAAATCAACATAGCTTAATTTGTCAGGGATGATGGTGTCATGAGTGAATTTTTCCTCTCTTTATATTTGGCCAATGGTTATGTAATGCTGAGAAAATTTTCACAAACTAAAATAAAAAATAGACTTAAGAATGTGTGGAAGTGAAAGAGGATAGTCACTCATCCTCATTTTCCTGAGGGTGAGAAGGTGGGATCTATAAATTAGGATAGAAATCGTCAACCTGTTTTTTATCTCAAAATACAATTTTTTTTTTGCTGCTTAAAAGGTAATGCATCATGCATCTGAGTGGCCAACTATGCCCTACTTGGGGAAGACAAGACTTATGTTACCGTATTCATCCATTCTCACATTGCTATAAGGACATATCTGAAACTGGGTAATTTATAAAGGAAAGAGGTTTAATTGACTCACAATTCCACAGGGCTGAGGAGGCCTCAGGCAACTTAGAGTCATGGCAGAGGGAAGTAAACATGTCTTCTTCACATGGCGGCAGCAAGAAGTGTAGAGCCAAAGGGGGGAATGTCCCTTATAAAAACCATCAGCTCTTATGAGAACTCACTCACTATCATGAGAACAGGATGGGGGAAACCAACCCCATGATTCAATTATCTCCACCTGTTCCCTCCTACGACACATAAGGACTAGGGTAAAAACAATTCAAGATGAGATTTGGGTGGGGACACAGCTAAGCCATATCAGTCACTAATGGTTTGGGGCTCTGAGTTTCAGGCTACTATAACCAAAATACCATAAACGGAGTGGCTTGTAAACAAAAACATTCCTCACAGTTCTGGAGGCCAGGATGTCCAAGGTCAAGGTGCCAGCAGATTTGGTATCTGGTGATGGCCTGCTTTCTGTCTCATAGGTGGCACCATCATGCTGTGTCCTCACATGGTAGAAAGGACAAGGAATCTCTCTGAGGTCTCTTTTATAAGGCATTCATTCCATTCATGAGGGAACACCCCACCAAGATACCTCACCTTCTAACACCATCACCTTGGGGTTAGTATTTCAACAGATGAATTTGAAGGTGGGGAGCATAAACACTACATTGCAGGCCCTAATCTAACAGGTGACTCCATCCTCCTTTATTATGGCAGGAAAACAAGGAGATCAGGGCTTTTGCTGGGTCTGGATGGGAACTAAGAAAACTGAGAAGAAGGACTAGCAGGGAGGACCCTGAATGGGGCCCATTTCCCCAAGGTCGCGTCTCGCAATGTTGTCTATGATGGTTTGCAGCAAGATGGCAAAGGAAGAAATGTACCAGCCACAGGCCTAGGGCATTTTACCAGTAGGCCAGCCCCACTTTGTGTAGGAGGCACCTGTACCCCTTCCCTCAGAGCACCTACCTCCAGTGGTCCAGCAATGGCATGAAAAGACACAGTCCCCTGCCTGGGCACAGTTCTTAGGACTGGTGAGCCCAGAGAGACCTTGTGGACTAGCCAGGTGGTAGAGCAACTCCAGGAAGCACACTGAACACACAGAACATTCAAAGCTGGGCAGACGGGACTACAGGCTGGAAGAAGAGCTCTTGAGAGTGTTTCTGGTCAGGGAGGCAGGGTGAGCATGTGACAGTGAGCAGAGCTCCCCTAATGACATTTTGGCCAAGAATGCAGCCTGGAGGTACTCGGCCGAGAATTCATTGGGGAGAGTGGGACTGTGGGGTGCTCAGAAGCCAGGCGGTATGGAGGGAGGGGAAAGGAGGAGGGCTTCTTCCAGTCCAGTGGCAGCCTGGCCAAGAATCAGGAGTGTGGCAGGCCCTAGGAGGTTGAAGTGCCTGGCAGCTAGCAAAGCAAGAATTGGAGAGAATCCTGGGAGATCAAGCACCATGGGGGTTGTATCAGTCTGTTCTTACACTGTTAATAAAGACAGACCCAAGACCGGGTAATTTATAAAGGAAAGCTGTTTAATTGACTCACAGTTCCACAGGATTGGAGAGGCCTCAGGAAACTTACAATCACAGCAGAAAGGGCAGCAGCTTGTCTTTCTTCACATGGCAGCAGCAAGGAGAAGTGTAGAGCAAAGGAGGGGGAAAGCACCTCATAAAAAAACAACAAATCTCTTGAGAACTCACGACCGTAAGAATAGCAGCATGGGGGTAACTGCGGCCATGATTCAGTTACCTTCCACTAGGTTCCTCCCATGACATGTGGGGTTATGGGAACTACAATTCAAGATAAGATTTGGGTGGGGACACAGCCAAACCATATCAGAAGTCAAGAAGAGAAGCTGAGGTCTGGACAAGCCCAGCTCCCAGGCATCTGATGGCTCTCTGGGGTGTTGTCTTGAGCTTCCCACTCCTGCCGGCAGCAGAGGCGCTGCTCAGATGCTAAACTTGGTCCTGAGAAAGGATCCCAGCTCTCAAATACCTGTCAAATGTGCTGCATATTCGTCAGGTGTACCCAAAGCCTGAGCTACCAGCAATGACTGAGTTCAAAAGGGTGAGTCATGACAGTGGTATGAAGAAGGCAGGTCCTGGGGTAAAGAACAAGCTCCCAAAGGTGTCCACCGCCTAATCCCTGGAAACATCCATGGCAAAAGGGACTCGGAATATGTAATTTAAGGCCACAGACATTGAAATGGAGAGACTATCCTGGATTATCTACTTGGTCCCATGTAATCACAGTGTGCTTATAAGAGTGAGGCAGGAGGGGTCAGAGTCAAATAAGGAGATGTGACAATAGAAGCAGAAGTTAGAGCCATGTGGGGCCACAAGCCCTCAAAAAGATGGAAAAGGCAAGAAAATGAAATCTCTCTAGAGCCTTGGGCAGCAGCACAACCCTGCCAACATCTTGATTGAAGCCCAAGAAAACTGATTTTGGACCTCTGACACATAGCACTGTAAGATTATAAATTTGTGCTGTATTAAGCAACTACGTTTGTGGTTGTTTGTTACAATAACTATAAGAAAGCAAAGCCCCAAGAAGGCAGCAAGTAGAGATTAAACCTCAGCTGCAGCTGCTTCAGGGCTTGGGCACTCAACAGTGTGAGACAGTGATTTTGCACCTAGCAATGTGGACTTCTGAGTAACAGGAGACAGACTTCCAGGAAGCACTGAGATTGTCAGGTGTTTGTTTCTGCCTTATACGAGTTAAAATACACCAGACCTTACACTAGGTACCTGACATGACACTTCTTCATTTAATTCTCAGAACAATTCTATGATGCAAGCACTATTGGCATCCCCATTTCACAGAGGCAGAAACTGAGGCTCAAGTAGGCAAGGTTATGTAGCCAAGCAAGAGAGCTGGGATTTAAAACCAGGCACTCTGACCCCAGAGCCTAAGCTCAGAACCACTGTATTATGTTGTGGGATAAAAAGAAAAGAGTGCTAACTCTACTGTCTATCCCATACAGCAGGAGCAGGCTATCCAGAAAGTGGGAGGAGAGAACATGTGTTCTGAGGAGAGAGCTGTCCCTCTGAATTAACTATGTGGAGGATGTTTGTGTAGTAGCAAGTGGGCCTAGAAAGAGCTGGCTTTAGGCACAGAAAGACAAATGCCATGTGAATTTGTGGGAGCTGAAAATTAAAACAATTGAACTCATGGAGATAGAGGGTACAAGGATGGTTGCTAGAGGCTGGGAAGGGTAGCAGGTAAGTGGGAGGTGGGGATGGTTAGTGGACATATAAATATAGTCAGATAGAATGAATAAGATTTCGTATTCCATAGCACGACAGTGTGACCACAGTCAACAGTCATTTGTTGTATATTTTAAAATAACAAAAAGAACATAATTGGAATGTTTATAACCTAAAGAAATGGTAAGTGCTTGAGGTGATGGATAACACATTACCCTGATGTGATTATTATACATTGTATACCTGTCTCAAATATCTCATGTACCCCATAAATATGTATACCTACCATATACCCATAACTTTTTTCTTAATTTAATAAATAAATAAATAAAAAGAAAGGGCTGGCTTTCTAGAACTCCAAATAATAAGCTCCATACAATCTAGGCAAGACATTCTCTGGGCTTTGAAGACTGACCCTGGTGATCTAAATGTCCAAGCATATAAGGGATTGACTGAATAAATTATAGTTCATCAATACAGTAAAACATTAGGCAACTTTTTAAAACGATGGTATAGATGATGTAGATCTATATTTATTGACATGGAGAGATGTTTCTAATACATCATTAAGTCTAAAAAGCAAGCTCTAAACTGTCCACGGCAAGAACACCCACACACAGAGAGAGAAAAGGCCTGGAAACACATATACAGAAAGCGTTCACAGTGATTATCCCTGAGGAGTAAGAAAACAGTTGATTTCGTTTTTTGCTTCCTGCTTATCTTTTTTCTCAATTTTCTACAATAAAAAGAAATTGCTGGAATAAACTTTAAATGTGGGAAAACTGAACTTTGGTAGTTGCAAGCAATGACGTGCAATGATAAAAAAAAAATGTTTTGAAGCATCTACTTGGCAGACCAAGCACTGATAAATTTACATAAATTTCATCCTTACCACCCAGCCAGGTAAGGATGGGAGTTCCCATTATTTCAGATTCTTTTTTAATTGAAGCTCAGAGAGATTAAGTAATTTTCCCCAAAATCATCCAACCTGAAAGCAGTAGGCTGGGATTTAACCCACATCTGTCTGGTTCCAAAGATGATGCTCTCTCCACTACAAGACTCTAATATTTTAGCTCCAGTGCCATGTGAGTTTCAAATAAGCAGGAATGTTAGAAGGAATCCAAGTGGACCAGAGGACATTGAGAGAAATTAAGGAGAGGACTGGGAAGTTCAAGAGTTCACCAATACCCTGGAGGAAGGTCTCTCAACCTCAGCGCTGCTGATGTTTTGGGCATAATAATTCTTTGTTGCAGGTGAAGGGGAGAGGTCTGCGCATTCTAGGATAGTTAGAAGCATCCCTGGCCTTTCCCCATAGATACAGTAGAAAGCCACCTAACTGTGATCACCAAAAATGTCTCCAAACACTGCCAAATAGCCCCTGGAGAGCCAAATCACCCCTGGCTGAGGGCCACTACCCCTGAGAATTGCTACCACCAGAATGACATGGCAGTGGCCCCAGAACACTGTTTGTTACTTACTATTCATATTCAGGGTTAAGCCAACCATATAGTATACTCCACAATGTTAGCTCTGTCCTCCTCAACTAATCCTTTACTCCTTGTATATTCTGAGCTCGAACCACTCTTCAGGCATTGTTCAAAACAAACGTCCTAATTGGTGAGCTCCAAGTGACACTGTGGTTATTGTTCTAATCTCCAGAAAGGACAGAAAATTAAGTTGCACCATTGCAAGAACAGCCCCTTGAATGGGCCTTTTGCCACCCTTCTGTGGGGGTTCATCCATGCCCCTGCATTCCCTGAATTAAAAGTAAGGGAAGCTGTTTTTTTCTTGTAAATACCAAGCTGTGTAGTCATTACAAGCTTGCTTGGAGATAATCAGGGCTGACACTTGCTATACGTGCAGGGTTTATTGGAGACCACCCACAAAGTCAACTCAATGCAAAATGACACTACCAAGTAATCTAATCCCAAAATGTAGATTTCATTCCAACAAATTGCACACAAGTGGTCTCCTGCTGGTTTAACTGTTGCCTGGAAAGGCGAACCCAACTGCATCCATGGCAAATATGTTAGCACAAAGCATCCAACCATAAACAGAGAACAAAAATGCCATGTCTGAGACCATAAACGCTGAATATCGCAGAGAGACATGAACTCCTTTTATACGGAGTGAAAATATGATTAGAAGATGAGTTTGAATATACCACCTTTGTCCTAACTCATTTCCCCTTTGGATCAAAGACAAAAAACAGTAACCAAAAGATGAAGCAATTAAGTTTATTTCTCTTTGCATCAAAAATTCTTGCATACTGCTTCCTGCAGGGTCTTATATTTTGAGATTAACCAAAATTTGAGGGCACTAGCACCATGAGTTTATCCTTATGTGGTAAGTATGTATCTACACTGCAAAACACACAGTTCCCACCCTCCAACAGAAAGGGCATTTTGCCTGGGGAAGTAGCTTATGCCTATAATCCCAGCACTTTGGAAGGCCAAGACAGGAAGTTTGCTTGAGCCCAGGAGTTCAAGATCAGCCCGGGCAGCACAGCAAGACTCTGTCTCTACAAAAAAATTAAAAATTAGCTGAAGCCAGGCATGGTGGCTCACACCTGTAATCCTAACACTTTGGGAGGCTGAGGTGGGCAGATCACTTGAAGCCAGGAGTTTTAGGCCTGCCTGACCAACATGGCAAAACCTGTTTCTACTAAAAATACAAAAATTAGCCAGACATGGTGGTGTACCCCTACAATTCCAGCTACTGGAGAGGCTGAGGCACGAAAATTGCTTAAACCCAGGAAGTGGAGGTTGTAGTGAGCCGAGATAGCACCATTGCACTCCAGCCTGGGTAACAAAGCAAGACCCTGTGTCAGGAGAGGAGAGGGGAGGGAAGGGGAGGAGAGGGGAGGGAAGGG